GTGGATTATGATTGCTAGGAAGTTTCGGCTTGTAGTATAGTGTTGTGAAGTTTGCCACCTCCTCCCTTAGACTTGCCTCTACAATGGAAACCTCAATTCTAGCTTTATTTGTACATTTCTTGCGAAGAGTCTTTAGACATCTCTCGATTGGATAGCACCACAGGGCTTGCACGCCCCCCCCCCCAAACGTGCCTCGGATGGGAGGTGCACAATCAGATGTTGCATGGGCAAGAAGAAGCCGGGTGGAAAGATCTTCTCCATCTTACAGAGTAACACAGGTGCCGCTTTTTCCAAGTCCTGAGCGACGGTCCGAGATATCTCCTTGGCACAAAGCTGACGGAAGAAAAAACTCAACTCTACCAGCACTTGCCAGACATGGTCAGGGACATAGCCTCGGACCATCGCCGGAAGAAGCCGCTCAATCCATATGTGGTAGTCATGACTCTTCATCCCATTGACTCGTAAAGTGCCTAAGTTCACTCCCCTGCTCAGATTCGCTGCATATCCATCTGGAAACATTAACGTCTTGATCCATTTTAGTACTTCCCTCCTTTGATCGGGTTCCAAGATGAAATCGACCTTAGGTCTTTTCCATTATTTGTTTCGGCCACTAGGAGGCCACATCTCTTGCTTTGGTCTATCACACAACATCGCTAGGTCCACTCTAGCTTTAACGTTGTCCTTAGACTTGTCAGTGTTCATGAGAGTTCCCCAAAGTGCCTCGGCGATATTCTTTTCGGTGTGCATTACATCAATGTTATGTGGTAGAAGAAGATCATCGAAATAGGGGAGCCTCGTCAAGCCAGACTTATGAGTCCACATATGTTCCTCACCATATCCCACAAAACCACCTCCTTCATTGGGCATGAGAGCATCTATCTGAGCACGCACCTCAGCACCACTCTTCATGCACGGTTTAGGGTCTATCACTACAACACCTTTCGTAAAGTTCTTGATGTCTTGTCTACATGGATGGTTAGAAGGGAGGAATTGATGATGCCTGTCGAACGACGAATACTTGCCACCCTTCTTCAACCAAATGAACCTCTGACTTCCTTGCATATTGGGCACGGGATTTCCGTGGACATTTTTTGAATATCCCATATGCCGTGAAGTCATGCGCAGGGAGTAGTGGTACCAAACATGCATCTTGAAGGATGATAATCTAAATACACCCAAGCATCGATCAATTCATCAATCATAGGCTCCATGTACACACCCATATTACTCCGGTGTGTCAGGAATTATCAACGAGTACATCCATAAGGATTTTTGACAACATGCGACATTACGAGCCTCACCGCTTTGTCGGGATGTTTGATACCGTACACCTTCTTTATGCCATGTCATCTTTTCACGGATTCCTCGATCATGAAAAGCCGTTAGATCCATGCCATCTCCGTAGTCTACCTCCGTGTACCTTGAGGATTTACACTTGAGATAGTACTTTGCATCCTGTGATCTTTCCTAAATAAAGACGCACCTTCGGACAAACATGTATCTTGTCATATGGCATCTTAAGCATCTGAAGGCCAAAGTTTTGACGTGCGTCACAAGTTAGCTCTGATCCATCTTCATGACTCAGTCCTTTCGGACAAACATGTATCTTGTCATATGGCATCTTAAGCATACGAAGTAGTTTCGTGACTCGTGCAAGTTCTTCTTCGAGAATGTGCTTCTCGGTAGCATGCCGCCAAACACGGCTAACATCTTATCAAAGCCTTGGCGACTTCAGATTTAACTCAGCCTTCAACCCCATAACCGTCCAATGGCATCCGGTGAGAAATGCCATGAACAGTCCATGAATAGCGGCTTCCTCCATCTCCTCCTTCTTTTTGAATGTCATCCAAATTCGCATCATTTCATGTCTCACCACCTCCGCTCTTATACGAGCTTCATGGTGGAATTTGAAATAACCAGTACACAAGATGTTTACCCAATTGTTGTCATATTTGCTACATGGGACACCAAAGTTTAGAATGTCCTTTAGCTACACCCGAGCTCCATGCATGTTCCAAGAAAGCATCTGTCCCATTCACCCACTCAATGTCAAAAATCCTACTTCTCCGGCCTGTACATCCACCGATGGTCTTCCATCCTTCCACATATACTGACACATAGTAAAAAACATCAATTGCATCTACGCTGTGTTCCTCCCAAAGGTGAGGATAGGTCCTAATCCCACCCACGGATGCGTAGATGAAGTTAGTTTCCATGCTCGCGCTCCCTATCCCGATGTAATTCAAGAAGACCTCCCCATTGTTCTCCCGATGCACGCCCCGCAAGGGAGAGTGTGTATCTGCGGAGAACAACCGGGGTGATTAGGAGCTGACCATGGAAACTAACCCATCCACGCATCCACGGGCTGTCCAAAAACGTGGACAATCCAAAACAGACACGGTCGCAGATATACAAAGATTTGTATACCTCCAACCGTATCTCTTTCGAACGGGAGACACCTAACTAGGTTGACCAAAGACCACAAATAAGGGGTTATACCTAGGGTGCCGGTGAAGCGGGCGGTGGAGAATTTTGAAGAAGACGATCGGGTCGCCGAGTCCCTCCCACAGTCCTCCTGCAAAAAGGAAAAAAATGGTTAGTGTCGACACAAAATTTCTCGCAAAGACTCTCCCTCGCCGGAGAGGTTCCCCAAACCTGCAAAAAACATGGCACAAAAGCCAACCACATATATACCAAACATGGGCACATAAGCCAACAACCAACCAATATATCAAGAGGAGCCATGTATTTTAGTTCTCTTTCCATTCAGATGAAAGTAAAGTAGTACAACAACAATTAACTAACCCTACAACTACTACTAAAACTACTACTAACAACTACTTAACTACTAACAAAGTACTAATACTAAGAACTACTTAACTATTAACAACTACTACTACTAACCACTACTTACTAACTACTACTATTTACTAACTACTACTACTACTACTAACCCTACAACTAACACTACTAACTAATACTACTAACCACTACTACTTACTAACTACTACTAACTACTAACTACTACTACTACTAACCCTACAACTAACACTACTAACTACTACTACTAACACTACAACTAACTACTACTAACTACTAACTACTACTACTACTAACCCTTGAGGGCTTACCTTGGTGGCAAGAACGACAAGATGGACATGAGCAGAAATGAGAGGATCAGCAGGCGGTCGGGCCGGGCGAGAGGATCGACGGACGGTCACGGCACCTCTTCTTCCTCCTCTCCTCTTCTTCCTCCTCCCTTTCTCTTTCTTCCTCTTCCTCCTCCTCCCTTCTCTTTCTTCCTCCTCCCCCTCTCTTTCTTCCTCTTGCTCCTCTCCTTCTCCCTCTCTTTGGCGGGCCGTAGGGCACGGCGGGCCGGCCGGGCGCACTGGGCCATATTGGCAGGATGGGCGCCAGGGGCATGGGCGGGGGCATGGGGCATGGGCGGGTGGCTAGAGGCAGGGGGGCCGGGGTTGACAGGCGCGCCGGGAGGGCCCGGCAGAGCTCTTCGCCGCCGGAGCTTGCTTGGCCGTGCTCGGGACTTTAGGTTAGAAGCTTTGTCGAGTGTCGGGCCCAGCGACACTCGGCAAAGGTTTTTGCAATTTTTTTTTAAAATTCGTTGCCTAGCGACACATCTCCACATGTTAGATGTTTGACTTTTAGGCATCCGACATCACAACTTGCTTCAAACTTTCTCAATTTTTTACCACGGCCGCCACATGCGATAACAAGACACCTCGACAAGTTTCGTCATTTTCGGACTTCGTTTGGATTTTATATAATCTAAATACACTTTTACATAAGTACATCGCCATGTTACGACAACAAGATGCTCGTAATTTCATGCGAGTTCTGGATATGGCCTCACGCCAAACATCATGAATACCATTTTTGAATGACCAAATTTCATTATTTCATGTATGCGCAGTTCAAATTTGAAATAGTCGAAAAAATTCAATGAAACAAAAATAATTAAGGAAATATAGTAAAAAAACTCAAAATTATCCCAAATTTTGAAATAGAGTTATATTACTGTAGCAAGGCCCAAGAAAAATTGGGGAGAAAAAAACAAAAAAAATTAATTTGCCGAGTGCCAACCTTGGCATTTAAGAAGATCGCTTTTGCCGAAAGCCGCCGCTCGGCAAAGACTTTTAAAAAAAATTGCAAAAACGGTTAAAAACCCTTTGCCGAGGGCCTAACGGTGATGCCCTCGGCAAATATTGACGTAGGGGTGGACATCGTGTCGGAGAGGTGTTGTCGAGCCTTTAAAGCCCTGGGAATTGTGGGATTATTAGCCCTCGGCAAAGGCTTTGCCGAGGGCGGTTCTTTGCCGAGGGTCAGGCCCTCGGCAAAGACTCTTTACCGAGTGCCCGAGCATTTGCCGTCGGCAAATCATTAGGCCCTCGGCAAAGATGTTCTGTCCGGTAGTGCTGGTTACGAGAAAAATGGGAATCGTGGGATTATTAGTGGGCTATGGGCGGTTGTGGGGCGATGGAGTGTGGACCTGGACATGCCAGGCGCGCTGGACGGTTGTCGGACCTGGCGAGGCTGGCTGGGTATTGAATATACCACTCGGGTACCGATTATTATTCAGTACCCAGGGTAATACATAGGATATCTATATATGCGTTTATACCACTCGACTATAGAATACCCAGGGTAACACACTTAAAACTTGTACTCCAATGCGGATAAAAATGTGCAGGCATTACACCGTGCCTTTAATTTATGTATGCACAAAGCAGCAGTACGCAGCATATGCTGTGGCGCACAGCCTTTACATGTACAGATACACAAATACATCGTCAAGCAAGCAACTAGTCCTGCATGTTTCATTTGTGCTTACATTACATATATCAAAATCACAAACATATGCGTTTCGACAGATCGACACACAAACTAGGTCATATATGTGACTGGAACACAACTGTCACTCTTGCAGTAGAAGATGATGCTGCCATCTCATCTTTATTTATTTCCTTTGCCTCAAAGATCCATCTTCAGGGTAGCCATGTCGGCATGAAGTTATTCATATGCTCAGGAGCGAACCTGCAAACATGCATGCCAAACACAACAAGAAGACAGGATCAGATCGATGCACAGGCTGCGCTTTATGTAGCTATAGGATCTACCGAATCACAGGATGCATCTGCAGGTATATGACATACCCGATCTGCAGGGTTGGCTCTGCTGCAGCTTCCAGGGGATGAAAGAGTAATCCATTGCCAACATGCGATGGGGCCTGCTGTGGGGGGGAGTGCCGCTCGTAGCCGAGTAAGTTGGCACCGTGCTCCCACACTTGGCCATGCACCTGGTTGCTGGTCTCCTCCAGCTTTTATTTGCAAAACAATCACGTAAGAAACCTCATTAATCTCACAAATCCCCCTGAAATGCTCGTTTAGTTATTGGTATAAGTACTCTCTCTCTCTCTCTCACACACACACATATATATATATATATATATATGGCTATTCTGCAGCTGGCCATAGAATAACTTATTCTATACCACCTTGATTTACAATAATATTTGTACCAATTTACGATAATATGAATATACATTTACGATACTCGTGTTACTACAACTCACGGTGATATTTACGATAATGTTATAGTAAATCATTTAGTAAGGAGTTACTGTAATCTCGTAAATTAGCATGGTAATTATCGTAACTCAAAGTGGCCACAGAATAAGTTATTCTATGGCCAGCCAGCAGAACAGTAGTTATATATATATATATATATATATATATATATATATATATATATATATATATATATATATATATATATATATATATATATATATATATATATATACTGTAATAGCAGTCAAATGAACAATATGCACAATATATATTTCACAATTGAACTACGGTATTCCTTATGCAAAACTTATTCAAAGATGCAAAACATTCTGGGCTACAAAAAGTCGTTCACAGATATATTAAGACAAACACCATGTATAAGTAATATAAAGTGAAAGCTCGTTCAGCAAGAAGCATTACTGCATATTTGTGCTCATGGAAACTCAATTTAACGTGTCGACTGCACATGTATTTGCAAGCATATACATACACAGACTACGGTGCTAATAAATTAAACAGATCTGCCAACCTGAAGAGCTGAATTGTTCATTGATGTATATACACAATTTTTAACCAGAAACATGACATAAAAACAAAATAATAAGATGCTTCCCCGAGTATCTAAACAAGACCAGATAAATTATGTTTGCAGCATTTAAGGGACATGGTAAGGCGCATGCATACCTTTCTTCTAAGGCACTTATTTGCTTCACACAGCATTTGCTCCTGGACATGGTTTAGCGATATCATTAAGTAGTTCAAACAGTACCTATATCTAAGCAGAAATTATCCAAAAAAATATCTACAGATATAAATCTTCATAAATTTTATCATGTTAAGAGCATACCCTCCTCTGAAGATCAGTGAGCTGATCAAGCATATGCTGTGTCTGCAAAATGAAAATTTCTTTGTTCAGCATTGGAAAGATATAACATACTAAGTCATTCATGCCTATATCATTCAACATATTTCAAATTCCAAGCCTACCTAATTAAGGAACATTAGTCACAGAAAATATAGGAGATTAATGGAAATATTGTGAAATAAAAGTACTATGTTATATTTAGCTGGGTCTTCTTGGCAGATGATGATCGCAATTGTATATAGAGCACTCTATATTCAAAGTGGTCCATTAATTTAGAAATATGAATGACTGTGCTATCAATACTAGCTTCATCCAAAAATTATTTTAACACATTAGGAAATGGTTTGTTCAATGGATTACCCTTGTGGATCTTATGTGCCTTAAGGATGAATCAAGTTGCTTCTCAAGCTGCTCAAGCTCTTTGATACCAAGTGACCCCAGATCTTCACCAAGCAAATTCCTGTAATTGCCAATAAAGCCAAAATCAATTGTCTGCATCTTTGCTAAGCATTACACATTCACATTAAGAAACTTATTTTAACTTCAATGCGATTACATTATGGTTTCTTCATTTAGCCTCCATAAATTGATATTTAATTCAGAGGGTTATGACTTATGAGAATTCTGAAAACTCCTTTCAGATGTGCATATATGCTAATGAAGGCCCAATGCTTTAGCTATGCAATGAATCTATTTGTACTAATTAATCACCAAAGTAGGGCAAACAAACAGTGCACAAATATTTTTCCCCTGAATAGAGATGCCGTTTACCTGGTAACTAACTAACAGCGCATACACTGAAAATGACAGTACCACAAACTTATTTTTTGATGAAATTGTCCAAACATGCATAGCAATTTTATCTAGTGGTTAATTAATGTAAATTGGGTAAGAGAAGGAAATTCCTTTTGTCATGAAGATAGAATTCAAGAGTAGACTCAACTTGCCTCTGAGTCCTCTGTAAATTATCCACCCTTGTTTTTAGTATAAGGTACTCATTGTGACTGCTCTGGACTAACTGCAAAATAAGAGGTACTTCAGTACAAAAGATATCGAAAAAAAAACAAGTAAGCATTAAGTGCTTTTGGAGCAAACAGTGGCTGGGCACTAGGGATGAAAATGGAAGATCCGTTCACACACAATAATGATATTTGGAACTATCATCTTTGACAGCAGCTCAATGTAAATTGTGTCTTCTCAATCATATGAATTATATAGCCATGATTCTAACTCATACTTGGCAAGTGCATGCGATAAAAAGAAACAAGAAATGACAATCTGCTATGCATAAATGATCAAATGATTGAAGGTACCAAGGTTAAGGAATTGCTAGCGCTACGCAATGAGATGTTCACTTGAACAAAACAAATATGTACTGTAGTAATGTGTATGTTTCAAATGAGAACAAAGCCACTGTCTTTTAATTTTCACAGTGAGATGTCCACTCATGAAGCTAATTTGATAAATATCAATATATCAATCTAAAATTGCTTTGAACCAAAGAGTACTAGGGGCGTGTTTGGTTCTCCGCCACACCACGCCACAACAAAGTTGAGGCTGCCACACCTACTGACATAGCTGTTTGGATTGCAAATAAAGTTAGGCACGCCACATCTTTGCATTGAGCTACAGCAGTAAAACTCGCCACTGGTGTGGCGGCTGTTTTGGCGCTGCGAGTGTGGCGACACCACAGCGGGCATGGCAAGTTCTGGCTAGGAACCAAAGACGCTCTAGAATCTTTGGACGAGAAAATACTGAAACAGAAGAGAACTCATGAGAAATTGATTCAGGAACGTGTCAAGCTCTTATTACCTCGTTCTCCTTGTTCTGTACAGCAGTATCTGGTCCTCCATAACTGCTTTTTTCGTACCTCTCAAGTGTTTTTGTGATGCTGCAAGTTCAAAATTAGCATGGTTGTTAGCAAAGTAGAGAATGTGGTGCTTGGAGAAGATGAAGCAATCAATCTCAACTAGGGTAATAACATGCAACTGATTTTTTATTTTTGGTTACATACCAGGGATACATATTGATACCTCAAGTTGACATAGTTAGTGTAATTTACATCTATCACAGTTATATATATCACAAAAACTTCCTAATTTAAGCTTACGAGACATTCCAACAGACAAAACAATAGAAAAAATATGGCTTCACCCAGCTACCGTAGAATATTAATTTTCCCCTATACCACTGGAGTGTCAGTGGCCTCGACATGAAAGACTTTCAGAGAGGAAGAAGAGTGAGGGAACAAAATCTAGTATACTACAGTATATGTTGAAGATATGCATGCATATCTGACAGCATAAAATACTAGTAGAGCACTAGGTTCCAATTGTATAGACCCTGGAAGGGACATATGATAAAACTTTGCCTTGGAGAATTTTGCGGGCAAGGGGATTGAAAACCAGTGAAATGAAAGGACAATTCGATCAGAAAAGGTGAGGAGACAGTTGGACACCACGACTGACATTTGAAACCTGACACTTGATTGTACCCTTAGTTTATACCTCCAGGTCAGTCCTAGGAATCTTGTACAAGGTGGTCAGTTATACACTAAAATAATATCACAAGGTAAAATCCTAGGAATCTTGTACAAGGTGGTCAGTTATACACTAAAATAATATCACAAGGTAAAACCTATAATGTATAGTTAGCGCCCCCCAAATGAAGTTTGAGACGTGTTGATGGATTAAACACATTTACTTTACATTTTGAATGGAAAACTTTTAATATTACTACATAAATTATGAGGGTCGGAAGATGAGCATGTTTAACATATTGGAAAGAAAATGAAACTAATAATATAATATAATATCCTGCTTACAAAACAAATCTGAAGAAACCATAGTCGATCTAGTAGCTCTGCACACTTGCAAATTACAAATATAAAATTGAGGATTCTAATTCCAAATTTAGAACTAAAATACTACTAAATGCTTGCACTTGCTAGATCATGCAAGCGTGTACAGAACATTTTTAGCATCCCAACAATAATATTTAATACTGCAGGACACAAGCCTTAGCCAAAAGCCAAGAGTTGGAACACAACGCTGATTATCTGGTTTTCTCTTCATTTTCAATAAATTAATTACAGATCCTTGTGAAAATCATGAGATTTTCCTAGGGAGTACGAAAATTTTAAAAGTATGTCCACAAACAGATTAACCACCCATATGGTTTGATCTTAGTCTTCCCAATTATTAACAGATATAGGCGGTTATATTTTCTGCCCCCAAAAGTGAAAAAAGTTAGACAGAATTATCTAAAATTTGGTACATACAGAGTTTCTTGTGTGAGGACTTACGTGACCTATACAATAATGCTAATGGATTAATTTAATAGTTTGTTAGGTCATTGAATCAAAGCAGATTGTGATCTAAGCCCTGTTCAGTTCTAGAACATGATCTAGGTACTCCTATATGATAAAAAGACTATAAACTATAAAACAAACTGCAACTGAGAACTTTTCATAACGATATGTGTAAAAGTATATTCATATTTGTTTGCCAAGAGAGAGAGAGAGAGAGAGAACGTTTCTACCGTGTTAAACTCTCATGTATTTGGTGGTAACAAAATCCTTTTTGCTTTCTCAGAAGTGAAAACAACCTAAAATAATTTTTGTAATAAGAGACTCTACGTTAATTAGAACATCGGCTACTAAGCAACACGACGACGTTCGTGCTTGAACTAAAATAATCTGATTCTAAGCCAAGCATGCCAAATAGAGTCCAAAACAGACAAAAGAAAAATCTTGAGCAAAACGACCGGATTCGATCCCGGATAGATGAAAGCTTACGTGTCCGTGCAGCACGACAAATTACGTGTCCGGATCCTAGTCCTCACCTTTTGCTCACCCCCGAATTTTGTACAAAATACGCGATTAATTTTAACTGGAAATTCGCGACATCGTCTCCAGACCAAATCGATTCAAACAAGAATCCACAACCCCTGGAGCAAACGAAAATTCACCAGATCTACTAAGATCACGACACTTCACAAGCCAAGGAGCAACCCAGAACCCTAATTTTCAAAGACATCCACCAGGTTTCTACTCCCAAATCAAACCCTCAAAAACGAATCACAGATCACCAGTGATAAGAAACGACGAGCTTGGCCTCGCACGGATCCACCCCGTGGCGCCCACAGATCCCCATGAAACCACGCCCCGGCCTATAAACAAGCCCAAAAAGTGTCCAAGCTCCCGCCACCACCCCGCGCTTCCCCGGAGGCCAGATCCGGGAGGATCTGCGGCCTCCGGCCACAGTCCGTACACATGTACCATGCATATATGTGCGTTTGTGGTCGCGCGTGCGTGCGTATACCTCTGTCCGCTGCAGAACTCATAGAGCTTGCCGCGGTTGGAGAAGATGATGAGCGCGACTTCGGCGTCGCAGAGCACGGAGAGCTCGTAGGCCTTCTTGAGCAGCCCGTTGCGGCGCTTGGCGAAGGTGACCTGGCGGTTGATCTTGTTCTCGATCCGCTTCAGCTCCACCCGCCCCCTCCCCATGGCTCCCAACCCTTCCAGCTAGCCCCAGCTGCAGCTACCCTCCACACACACACACTACCAGTCTACCGCACACACCACCGGAGCTGCTAGCTAGCTTCTCCTCTCCGGCTCGATCGGCGGCAAGCAAAAGCGAAGGGGAGAAAAAGGAGGAGAGCGCAGGCAGGAGGACGGAGTTGGGTGGGGAGAGGATTGGGGTTAAAAGGGCGAGACGAAAGGGGTGGCGAGTGATTGGGGCGCGTCCCGCATTGCCATTTCCGGTAAGGTGGTGGGCGACGCGGAACCCTAGAGGCGAAAGGCCAACCCCTCCGTCTCGTGATTGCTTGCCTCTGTCCTCACACGCCACCTTTTGCATTAATCAAATTCAATTCCGCAGCTCAATATCCGGCCATGTGTCAACCTCCCCTCCGTCTCTCTCTCCTCATCGCTGAGCTAGGGAGAGAAAGGGCGTGGACTTTTCCAGATGGAACCTCGGCTTGTCGTGGTTTTGGGCAAAGGCCCCCTTGCCTTGCCGCTAGAGGCCCCCTCCCCCTGCTAACTGCTATAGCTATGCGCGGCGCGCTGCTTTCCTCTTTCCTCCATCGAGCTCATCGGTCCGTTTTCGTTCCGGCCGGCGTCTTCCGACGGGCAGGCGTGCAGCGATCGAGCCTGCAGACATGCCGTTCCTGGTTCGCATCATATCTCGGGAGAGGCCGGAGGTCGGTCGCCATTGCCATAGTTCGTGCAGACAGGACGGAGCTCCTCGGCACGGGTGACGTGGTGAGAGCTCCTCGATCCGTTTTGCATCGCTTTTTCCAGAAAGGAGACGCTACACGATCCGTTTCTGCCTAGGGATCCGGGATGTTCTTGTATCTTGTTCCACGCTTCCGCGGCATGTGCACTTGTGTGTAAGATCATGTGGAGTCCTGGACTTTATCATTTCCATATCTGTTGCGATTCTGAAAGGACGATGGATCTAGTTTCATCTTCAGTTGATCGCCTGCTCCGGATGTGAACCCAACCAGCAATCGTCACTGATTTGGGCAAGCCCTAAATTTAATTGATCTATTGCAAACCTCCTATATGAACCAGATGCCAATGCGCAACTAAATTTTGCATGCCCTAAATCATCACTGATTTGGTAACATTGAAAAAAATTACCAATTGAAAACATATTGTCATTAATTACAACATCTACTCTATGTTTGTCATTTTGCTAAATTTGTGCGGCGACTATTCATATTTTCTTTAATTTAACACGTCCAACCAGTGTACACAATTTGTTTACAAGCTGGTTAGACGGGATAAACAGGAAACTGAAATCTAAGATGCTTGTGGGTGCGAGTGCGATTTGTTGGGTGATATGGTTAACCTGGAATGATATAGTTTTTGACAAGATCCCAGCACCATCTTATTTGCAGGTTATCTTCAAGGGGACTTACTGGATCAGGTTTTGATCCCTATTATAGAATGAGGAGGATCGCCAAATGATGAAGATGAGTTGCAGGAATATTGAGACAACCGCGATGGAGGTGTTTGCAAGACACGATTGGAGATTCAGTAATAGAATTGTGTTTTAGATGATGCTTTTGAAAACTTTACCTTTTTCCTCTTTGACTCAAAACTTTGTTTTTGAGATTGCGTGGACCTTTGTGTCTGTGTTTGTAATAAGGAACAGCTATATGCATTAGTCGATGCAGAAGATGGGATATTAATATATTCCATTTTCTAAAAAAATTGTCATTAATTACAAACTAAGGGCATGATTGTATTTTCTATGACTTTTCTATGATCAAAATATATTTGCCATTCCTGGAAAGGAGTAAATAAAATGTATGATGGTTACAATTGAAAGCCATTCACTGCTCTGGATCCTATCTAGTGTATTAATTACTAGCTTCGGTAAAGTTATGGCAATTGGAGCTAGACCAATACTGCTAATGACAAAAATAGTTGTTTAGATCATGTACAAGGCGAATTCATGGCCGGTGACAATGTTTGGCAAGAATGGAGTATTGCAATGCCGAATGTTGATAAAGTTGTGATTATGATAAATTGGATCCACATGTTATTGATTTATATTTTACATCAGAATATAGCCAACATAGATATTGTTTCATAAGTAAAATCACAAGGGAATTTCAAGGTAAATTGCAGATTAAAAACATAGTTTTTAAAAAAAGATTATTAAGGTCCTGTTTTGTTTGTGTATTAGCCAAGTCTGGCCGTATCTAGGAGAGCAAGGCCCCCAAGGGACAAACTAAGCGCATGCCAGACTGTCATGTTTGGTTGCTCCCAAATAGCTAGTCTGATCGAGTTGAAGTCGTGTTTGGTTACTCGCACAAACATAATCATGATATTTATTATATGCAACTATGTTTTGTTGCTCTTAATATATCTTATTATTCCTTAATATTATTTGAATTACCTATATCAAAGGCATTGTTTGAAATAAATTAATAATATCAATTAATATGCATGCACTATCAATGTAGTTATCTAGGTAATTGCTTGCATCTGTCGAGCCTGGCCCTGTAGAAACGCCCAAAATTTGCATATCATGGGAGCCAGGCTGAGAGGATATTTTTGCATGAACAGACCTAGAGTGTCGTATAAGCAACCAATCATCAGCAGCTCACATGCTTTGAGCCTGGTTGAAGTATATGCAACCAACCAGTCACGCCCAAAAAAATCAGCTGTCGATGTTTGACCCTCGTTGTTCCATGCGTTGTAGCTAACCATTGCCAAAACCTATTTGGCTTTTATAAAAAAAAAACTTGCTAATGCCCGAATGTCCAATCCGGGCGTTAGCGTCGGACAAAGTACTGCGCCGCTTGTTTTTACGTGCCCCACGACACGTGGGCCCTCATGCATGCGCTTGGTTTCTCACGCGCCCGTCTACGCCCACTCGGCGGTGGCCCAGCAGTGGGCCCACGCTGTCTGGACATCACCCAGCAGCTGCAACAGGTGCCTACGGCAGGTGGATCCTATTGTAACATGTGCAGCACCAGATCTACTTTTGCAACACCCAGATGAAACACTTGCAACATAGGTCTGAAAATATCTGAAACACTTGCAACATACGCTTAAAACACTTGCAAAACACCTAGAAAACACTTGAAAGCCATTGCAAACATATATATGCAATATCCATAAAAAACACTTGTAGCATATGTATGAAACACTTGAAACATATGCTTGCAACATGCATGTATATGCAACATCCAGATCTAATTGCAATATACATCTGATATAGATGAAATATTTGGAACTTAGACTGAAATATACATGTATAGTCATTGCAACATGTGCAACACTCATCTACTTTTGTAACATCTCGATCTACTTTTACAACATCAATATAAAACACTTGCAACATACCACAAAAACACCTTAAACACTTGAAATATATGTTTGCAACATGTTATTTCAGCGCAAACATCTCCTTGCTGCTTGGATGAATGGAGGCTCGTCGGCGCGTGGAGGTCACCGGTGTGCTTGCTGGCGGCGTGGAGCTCGCCGACAACGCAGAGCTGGGTGGCGGTGCATAGAGGGTGGGGTGGGGGCGGCATGGGCGGCGGTGGCGCGTGGAAGTCACCAGTGTGCTCGCCAGCGGCGTGGAGCTCATTGGCAACGCGGAGCTAAGCGGCGGCGCATAGAGGGCGGGGTGGGGCGGCACGGCGGTGGCGGTGGCGCAAAGGGCGGGTGGGCGCGGCAGCGGTGGCGCAAAGGGTGGGTAGAGCGTTTGAACGATTGGACACCCTGGATCCAGCATTTCCACACAAAAATCTACATGGCTTGCTAAAATTGGTTAGCAAACCAAGTTAAAGGGCCAAATTTCATGGCCTGCCAAATTTTGGTCAGGCTTTTCCATGGCCATAACCAAACAATCCTTTAATCTTGACATTCCACATTTCAGAGACAAGAACCTTAACTTGAATCTAGGTCACTTTTCTTGTTCGAGACGTCAGGTTTAGTTGATTGAATTGAGGGAGTAGTACAAACCTTAGTAGCCGAAAACGTGGCACATGGTGACGTGTTCCTCGTTCCAGGAACGTTCACGTTCCCGTTTCGAAACATTTTCATTCTCACGTTATAAAATAACACCTAAAGTTCTCGTTCCCGTTTTGTGTTCTTGTTTCCTTGGGGAGCATGGCTACTAAGGTACGGACACTCTATGTCTCTATCTATAACTTTATATATGAACCGCGTGCTTGCTAAAAAACCAGGCAACCAGAGGCTATCAAGCCCGCATAACCTAATAACCGTGTGCGCAATACTCGAATACCCAGAGGGACTAACCGTCAAACTCCCACCACGCACCTTCGTCCCTGGCCAAACTCATGAGTCATGACCAACCCGTACCGCGTACGGGCGCGAGAAGAATTGAGAGCCTGCATGCGGTCCGTGTCGTCTCGTCTGCACAGGCACAGGACACGCCGTCGTCCGCCGTCCGAAACAGACGGATCGGAGAGAGGTCGTCGCGCGGGGGCAGCTAGCCCGCAGCGGGCAGCGGACGGAGGCAAACCAAAGCACGCGCGAAGTGAATGCATGGAACGCCCAACGGATCGCGCGCGGTGCCCCCTGACGCCTGACGCGAGCGAGCCCCGTCCCGTCGTCCGATCCGTCCGAGGGATATTCGGCTGTGACGAGCGCGCGCCGGTGCCCCCACCCGCACCACGTGTCGGCCGGCTGCCGGCTGCCGATGCCGATCGGACGGACGGGCCGCGGTGTGTTGTGAATGTCAATGTGACCTTACCTTGGCCTTCGCCGGTAGTGCTCCTACTACACGGCAGCAGTGGCGCGGTCGCGCGTTCATTCGGCCGCTTGCTCTTGCTCCTTCCCCATGCGGCGGGAGACGCCTGCGACGGACCGGAGGCCAAAGAGGCGCATCGTGCTCGCTTTATCGGCACTGGCCAGTAGCAGCAGCCAGCAGGCCGGGGGATGGGGCCGGGGTGCGGGATGGATGCGTGTCTCTTTCAACGCTTTTTTCGCTCGTTTGTTTGTTGCCTTGCAACCAATGG